TTGAGACAAGCAATTGACACACGTCATCTATTGTCCAATGTAATACTTGAAGGCCTTGGATCTGTTCACACGATGCTCTCCAAAACTCGTTCTCATCTGGAAAAAAACTTCTTGAATTTAGTATCGTTGATTGAGTAAGTAAGAGCCCCTGAGCCTCTAGAAACGTACAGATGACTAATCTCTTGTAATTTCTTTCTTGACCTGAGAACAAATTTTGGACAAACTATTCTTTCCCCGAAGTATGAAACCAAAGTTATGAAATGGTACAATTGTCACAAATGATTAGAAGCTCATTATTTTTGACTCCGAAGGGCTCTAAATTTCGGTATTGAAGTCTACTTTTGATCGAAATTAGCAAAGATTGGTTTAGATTACCATAATATAAATGTACTATATGCATGGTAAATCTTCCAAACTCACTAGTTGGATATTTTTTCTTCAAAGGGAATAAAAGCCGTCGATGAACAAATTTATGTGGAAGAGCAGGACTGGCTGGTTCGGATATCCGTGGAACTGGACTACCACAAGACGATGAGTACTTATCATCATCCCATGTGGATACTTCCGCATCTTTTCGTGTCTGTAAAAGCACAGTTTTGAATTTTTTGTTTTCGAAAGCTAGGTGAACTACCAAAATCACCTACCGTAACATTATTATTGATGGTAGTTTTTGTCTCCTTAGCATCCATATTAGCCATCACAGCTTTATCTTCATGAGGAAGCTCACCTCCGGGTTTATATGCCAAACCCTCATCGCGCTTCTCCAGCTTGTCCTGGAATAGCTGCTAGGGAATATTTTAGCATCATTGATGTTGATAACAGGCTTTCAATAAGATTTTCAAGAAAAAGTTGGATAGAAGTTTATTTTAGAGCAAATCCTACCGCGATTAAAAGGGCCATCGTTAGCTGGAATGGAACGCTTAGGATAGTTTTCGTGGGCTTAACAAGGATGGGATGTCGTTTTAGTTACAATCGGATGAATCATAACCCGACATACTAAGAAACCCAGGATTCAGGTTCTTAAAAAGCTTTATCGCATCATTGTATTGTGACTTAGTGAAAATTTCTTAATATCCGGTCAAGGCAATGCAAGCTAATGCGAAGCAAAACCAATTCTAAGATTGAAGGAATGAATGGATAGAAATCACTGCAAATGAGATAGGGTTTTCACCGGATATAACTTGAGGTGAGCAGATCGACGATAACCTGATAAATTTTCTTTCCATGAAAGAAAATGTAAAAAATTTTTAAATGTTGTCTGGAATATTCGCCATTTGTATGATGTTTGGTATTGAATGTCTTCTTTGAAAAAACTGAACCCAGACAAACATGAATTCTTTCAGATCCCATATAAGAGCATCATAGTTTTATTTTATTTGTAGTTTACTACTAGACAAAATTCTTTAGCCAAAGAAATAATTGACGAAGTTAGTAGATTTCTCACTTTTAACTTATCCCTGAGTTCGCTGAGCTCATTATTGGCTATGGATTGCCGTCTTTGGTCCATCTCTTCAAGTTTTGCCTCCAACTCCTCAATTCGTTCCTGAAACTAAGCATCATTTCTTTTGTGGAAATTCTTAACAGTGAAGCTGATGTGCTCACCTTCAGTTGGGCTACAAGATGGGAATAGTGAGCGTCTTTGTCTCTTAATTGCTCTACATGATTTTCTTCTCGCGATAAAAGCTCTTTCTCCCTAGAACTGGCTATTCAAAAGCTGCACCAGATTGTAACATTGATGACCAGCCAACCTCTCTTGATAGTTTCTCAGAAGTTGATTAGCCTGGTCGTATTTCCTCTCAAGTTGATCATAATGCGATTTTGTGCTATCTAACACTTCATGCATCTGATCCGCTTTCTTCTGAGACATTTCCAGCTCCAATTCTAGTGCGGCTATCTTCGCCTATAATGTTTGGATCAAGGAGAAGGAGAG